AAGCAAGAAAAAGCTATTTTGCTTTAACCGGAGAAGACGAGGTAAGCGTTCAGACGACGAATATTATTGTCAATATTTAAGTTATTCAACATTATATTGACAATATATATATATTGATCGTCTAGACGACTTCTTACGTACGATAATGTTGAAAACCTTAAATATTGACAATAATATTGATCGTCTGAGCGCTCCTTTATCGTCTCATTTGCGCAATGGCATTCTTATTTGGAAATTGGATATTCTTTTAAACGTCGTCTTATTTCTGTTACAAACGAATTATATTCGTCAGAATGGAAAAGAACATAGTTGAAATTTATCTGCTTTTATTAATTGTCAATTTCTGTCGACATTTTGTGTAGGCACAAAGGGACGAAAATATGATCCTTCGCTATCGTTCGTTGTTTATGAAGACGAATATAAAACACAACGATGAAAATTACCTGAATCACTGAATGTTAGTTTCTACATTTCGGTTCGTATTGCAACTGTTTACAAACATCAGTCTGGTCTGTTTAGTGCGCGTCGATGTCTACCGATTGGGCCCGAGTTTTGTCGAACTAAGTTTTGTCGAACGGGAAGGGGTTAAACAAGATGAAGTGACTTCTAGTCGCTGAAGCAGCGACAGCCGATTCTTCTATTTCTTGTTGAACGACCTGGTCATTTCCGACTATAGTTTCCCTAATGTAAACAGGATTTTACGAAGCACTGTAACAAAATCTGTGCAACGAAATCTTCAATTGCCGCAGTCAGTCGTAACTACTATTTCTGGTTGACCAATCTGGTCATTTCAATTGTAATTGCCTAATGCAAACGTTTTAATGTAATACGAAAGTCTATGACAGTATTTTCTCGCGAAGTTAACTTGCTAAATGGAAAATATCAGTTAACTCGTCACTCAATTGTCAATCTCAGGAAATAATTTCAAATTCTTTCAAGAACTTCATAATTCATCTTATCTTTATCTTCCGCGTGTCATTTAATCTTCATTAAAGACAATTTACGTCAGTTTTACCATCGCGAGGATTAAAATCTAAGCGAAATTGATCTGCCTTTACTGACTTGTAATTCCACGATTATATCAGTTTCTCGTTACAAGAAAACTTTAACAATTAATTTAATAAAAATACATGGTAAAACACGAATCACTGCGCGGTTAATAATTGTCATCGCTACCACGTTACATGAATGGCAGAGTTTCCACTTATTCGCTCTTTTCCTCGTGTCGCGCATTGTCGCGCAAATTGTCGCGCATTTGTACGAAATTTAAAAGCGCGAAAATGCACGGAAAGCGTATGCAATCTACAAAAGTATACAAAGTGCCTAATGTATACTAATCGTTATAGTATCTAAGGGACGAAACAAATTTCTGTTGCAATTCTATTTTTTGAATTACGTTCACGCAAGACTAAGTTCGCATAAAAATTTGCGTTCATGATTCTACTCATAATTCTCGAATTTTTCGTATTTGATGCGAAAGCGGAACGTATAGTCTCGCTGTTGCTACACGTGATATTCGTACTGCGTGGGCGAATACAACGGCGACACGGAATTTGCACATTGCACATGCGATGAATTCGTCGTTTGACACTCCGCCTGCAATCTGCTGGCGACACTGTCCGTAATTACGTTATATGTCCTCGGCTTACAATAACGATCGTTGATGCGTGGGTTCGACCAACGACCAAGCGTAACGGTAAAGAGATTCATGTCGAATACGTTTCACTTAGCTCCTATTCGTTTCCTCGATCGTCCTCCTGGTGCAGCGTTCCTAACGCAAAGTTACGCTCTTCCGCTACCATCTCTCGTTACTGCGCGGCTTTACGGACGCCATTGTGTCGACTTTAACCAACGAAGCGTCGTAAACCATGGATTTGTGTCTCAGCTATGTCGTATTAGATCACGATCGAATAGTCACCTGCTGTTTTCCGATAGCAACGTATTAGAAACTAAAATTTTCATGTTTCGAAGGAAATTAAATTCGCTGTGTTTTTTTGACCCAGTTGCGTTCCTTTTACGTTAGAAAGTATCTCAAGTTTGAACAATTTATGGAAAAATCGTTGTTATAAAGAATATATAATATGTATATGTGGAGGGGATAGAAAATCTGCAGGTTATTCCAAGCTAGTAATTCTAAGAATTACATCAAATTCTCTATGTAAGAAACTATGACGTAAGGAAGATACTAAAAATCCCAACAGTGGAAGATACTCAGAAGTTGGAAGATGCTTCAAAACGCATCAACATAGGATGTAAAACCGCACGAATCAACTTATCAAGAGTTGTTACTCAAGTTTACTTGAAAGGCTCTGATACGACCGTTCGCGGAGAGACGCGGTCGCTAGGAAAACGCGTCAGCGAGAGGCGTAAATTCTCGCTACGATTCTGTTAATCGACGCCGCGAAATAGTCGTTCCCCTGTTTCGATTAAGATAACAGAGGTGGTTCAATGAATGTAACACTGCATTAACAGGTTAACATAAAGTAATCTATTTGATAATAATATGATGAACACGCCACAAATTGTTTTACAATGAATATGGTAAATATATTACAGAAAGTTGACTCGACTTTACGATATCTCTCAATGAATTCGTTAGACTATATGATTTTGATTTTGCTCGTCAGACCTCTCGATGTGTAACATTTGACTCGTCAGAAAGGACTGATTGCCTTCCGATCATTTCTTTGTCTTCTTTGGAAGACGACTCCCACTATGCTCGGGTCACGCCACCGCTCGCGCTTATGATCACGTATGCCACCTTCTTGTGTGGGAAACGTAACGGACAAAAATCGACGTTTCTAGAGCTCGCTGCTTGGCGACAATTATGCGCTCGTCTATACATTGTATATGATCCGTCGGGCAGATAAGACGATCTGCCTGCGACACTGTAAGACCGCGAGCGACGGTTAGAAAATACAGACTGTGGTAAGCCTCGTGGCGTAACGGGCTCAAAACACCCTTTAGATTTACTTGCATCTAATAATTGAATAATTGCTTTGATACAACGTTATCTTTTAGTCTAGTGATTATTGATAAATGTATTATAGGATCTTTTTATATTTATTTAGAATGGATTAAATAGGAAACGGTGGTTATTTAACGTGAACTAAATACAGTAATGTGCTGTAACTAAAGCAATTAAATAGTTAATTTACCTCTCGTCACCACAGTTCTAACACTCTTTCACACGGACCACCCTCCTCGACAACGCTGACAACACTCTTTGACTTCTCAACTAACTACTGACTGTATTGATTCATCTTTCTCCCTTATGTATCCCTTTGTCCTTTCTCATAACCCCACCACGTACGTGTTCCGCAACCGTCCGTGATCATGGTCACGTAGGCCTTTTTTTCGCGTAACTATTCGACTGAAGGAACGACGATACATTGATAGGCCTGCCGGTATTTAGGCTTTCTGGCAACATTGTTTATGGTTAATCCGATATTTCATAGGCCATTTGTCCACGATACTACAATATCGAGATCCGCAAGTTATTTTAAACGACTACCATAAGATAAATGTAAGAGACTGTAAGTATACAATTAGGAACATTTGATAAAGAACGTCTATAAAAGAGGAAGAAAAGAATTGGATGCATCGTTTCTTGTTTCAATTGTGTATTGTATATCTTCCCCAAATTCAGATTAGAGCAAAATTGAAATATAAAAGTTGTCGGATCGTAGGAGGGTCAGAGGTGAATTATTATTGTTTGATCAGACATGATCGATGTCGTCTGTTTTCAGATCTCGCACATACGTTGCATGGGCGATCGAGTTGTAGCGAAGCTTTTTCCTTTTTATAGTATTTTTCTTTCTATTGTACTTATCGACGTCGAACATGCGTTATGAATCCATTAACGTGTAATGTGTCACGTAAGATTAATGATAAAAAAGGAGTAGCTGAGCAATAACTTAACTTGACCGTGCTTTTCTAATTTTGTAGGCTTTTATTCACGAAAATGATTAAGTATAATATTACAATGAAGTAGCGAAGTTGAAATAGTTGCTCAAATCACGGCCAAATTGTATACAAGACACAAAAATTAAGTCTAAAGACTAAAACTAGTCTCGTGGTCAAATGCTTGCAGTTTTTATATGTTGCGTTTGTAAGTGTTGAGGGGCAAGGGGATTGTCCTACGTAATGGGAAAAATGTAATGTTGGGCCATGTGCAAAGGTCACGTCAAAACCTAACGGTTCACTGCCAGTGGAATGGCGTGGATTTGGGTATGGTCATTGTCATAAATGCTTAGTTAGTAATTATATTATTTCTAAATTTTTTCTTAGCAGTTGTCTATCGTTACTCGTTTTACAAATTATATTAGAATCAATCTTGAAACTCGTGATAATGTAATATTATTGAAAACTCAAGCTACAGATATTTAAAATAGTCAAGAAATATTTTAAAAAGACTTTTACTTAAAATACTCGATTTACTCGATTTAAAATAATCGCGTACGAGATTAGAGAATTTAGAACAGAGATAGAAAGATTTTATCTTTCAACTTGAAAATTGAAATATTCTGCACGATTCAAGTACAATATCAAATGGCAATTTTTAAACAATTAATCTGTTGTTCAGATAATTTGTATGAGATACAAAAAATAATATACTTACGTATAAATCCGGTCGAAAACGAAGCAGTCTTCCAATAAAGAAACGTCAGTGTAAATACAGCATATGTAGTATAAGTTTCACATTGACACAGTACAGTGATCTTGCATGCGAAAAATGAATGCACTACACGAAAACAATAAATTAAATCGACTTGTTCGAGCAAAATATGATTTCACAAACGATCTCACTGAAGAAATTCGATAGCACATAAATAAAAAACGTAATTGTAAACACAGCAAAGGATTAATACAATCAACGATTTTACTTATTCGATTTCGCGTCAGTCGTCAGCGATGCACGACAACTCAGTTCTATAGCGACTGAAACTCGTGGTAAGAAATTCGGCGAAGAACAATAAACACGAGCCCGATTCGTATTACGTACGTCGTTCGAACTAAACGTAAACAAGACGAGCGTAGTTCGTCGTTCAGTTGTCCTCGATATTTCCTTTAGTTGCGTGTTATTCTTCGTTACGTGCGCACGTGTTATAATTCCCTAAAACTATTAAACAACCCTTATACCTATCGTGTCAGTGAAAAGAAAATCTAATATCGATGATAGCAGTGTGAAGTGTGTTATTATTGCGGACAGTGATTCGGCAGATCCTTCTGATAATAATAGTGATGGTAAGTATATTGTGTTTCGTTGTTTCAAAAAATATCACACAGTCGAGGATTACTAATTTTCTACGAGTTTTCTCAAAACGTTATTAATTTAAACTAAGTATTAATTTACAAATACAAATTAATTTACTGATACATTATGGACTTCCAAATAATACGCCATTTTTGTTCACTGATGAATCGATTATAACACATAATCGATTATTTCACAGTTCCTTTCGTTGCGCCGAAATATACATGCCATAAAACGCATAATCGAGACAGAAGATATTGTAAAATATATTTCGAAACATCTGAAAACGTGCATGTACTGTAAATTTTAACCCTAAACACTCCGACTTTTAATTGTGAATATCGACCGGTAACTCTAACTTATTCTCATCATACTTCAACTTGCAAATTTTTAAGTGTCAGATTTTAAATGCTACAATGACGTGCAAATAGTAATATTAAAGTCATTCAAAACAATCTTTATTCATCTCAGAAGTAATATAATTTTGATTATGATATTTATATTAGTCATAATTGAGTAATGTGTGGAATTTTTTGAAACATTCATTGGGATTCAAACCGGGTTTGCGTTTACAGGTCTCACAGTACTTACTGAGGATTATTATTTTTTATTTGTAAACAATTACCGACCCAATATACACAATAACGACCCACAATAACGACCCAAAAATACATTTGGAGTAAAGCGCCTCACATTGGTGGTACTTCAGAGGTATACTTGGAGTAGAGCGCCGCACATCGGTGGTGCTTGAGAGATACATTTGGAGCGTTGGGGGTTAGATTGACAGGTACAGTGATTTTATTACTTATTTTTTATATTGTTTATTACTTATATAAGTTATATTATTTATTTCACGTGGAATATCAATGAATTACGAAAATAATAGATTAAATCGATTACTTTCTCCAGTAAAGTATGATTTTATAAACAATCTCGGTGAAGAAATTGAATAGCGCGTAAATAGCGGAAATATTCTGTTACGATCGAGATTGTCGTAACAGCTGTGTTATGAACGTGTTCGAATGGCAATAGGAAAATGGACGCGTGTATCCGTTTTCCCTTTAGGTACGTAGCTTCGTATCACAGTCATCAAGGTATTACAGCGTTCTTGAAATAACAGTGTAAGATCTATCTAAAGTGGTGGAACCGTCACACGCTTTTCATCGTGACCGATGATACTGGTTCGCTTAACGACGATCATTGTGTTACTTTAGGCTCGAGATGGGAGGATATCTAAATTGGAGGTTTAAGGAATAAACTTCGAAGAAAAATGTAGACGGCTTGCCAGAGAATTTTTTTTGCGGCTAATAATATATCTACATGTACGGACACTAGCGGGCTATATTATGGGCTGTTTTTTCCTGTACTGATATGCTTTAAGAGCGTATTTCAGAACTGATGGTTCGTAGAAATCTATGTTTTTTTTAAAGTAAGCATTTATTAATAGAATTACCTTAAATAATTAATATTTTGAATATAAGATTGAATAGAAATGTGGATTGAAGCGAGAAGAAAATTCTTGTCCAAGATAAAGTGAAATAGAATATATTTTGAGATTACCTGCTTTATAAATAATTTACGAATACATAACCTCATAGCGAGAAATCTTTTTCATTTATTTATTTCAAGCATTATTTCATTATTTTGCTATGTTCTCGACGTTTAAAATTTCTCGGAAAAAGATAGTTTAAATCGATTTAGAACGATCAGTGAAAATAATGAAAGTAATGAAAATATACCTATACTTCTTTTTGCAAAAATCAAATCATCTCATTCTCGCGTAGAAACACATTCGGGTAACATGTTCGTGAATAGTCGACGACATTTTTCAATTAAATATTTTTATCCCTAAAATATTGACAAAAGTAATAGATATGTACCTGCATCGTTATGCTTGCAAAAGATGTAATACCGAATTGCAAGGCTTACTTAGATCAGCCTGTATAATCAAATAAAAGTTTACACACATTTCTAAATAAAATTTCAGTAATGTTTCCAAGAAGGGAAAAGATTTGAATACACTTGTATCGTATTGGACACAGTAGCAAAGTCGAGGTGTACTGGCTGTTTCCCTTTAGCCATATAACATTCGCACCACTGTTATCACCGTATTACAGGTTTTACGAAATAACAGCTCAAGACTCGCGTAATGCACGTGAACATCGGTAAGTTTTCACTCCCACTCGATGTCCCGAGGTAACTTAACGGTAATCGTTTTACATTTTCAGGCCCAACGGCCGACGAACGATTCAAGGAGAACTAGTATTTCATTGATAACTCACCCCGTGTCCCGACCTTTACGACCACCACACTGTACGTACACTGTTGCACGCGCATACCCGCCAGGCAACGTCCAATGATTTGTGTATCGACAGTCGTCAGTATTAATGCCATTTGTGTGCAATTATGTTAGTTATTATGTCAAACAACCTACCTTTTGCGGCTCGTTTCAACACGTTTTCAGCATTACGGCATTGCGACTTGAAAACGACGCCAGATACCCGATGAAATAGCTCACGGCCAACAACACGATTGCGTTGGTGGGTAGATCAAATTATAAATTAGAACGCGCGGAATCTATTAAGGAAGCGTTCGATGAGCATTTCGAAGCGATTTATATTCAGAAAAGTTACGAAGCGATAGATGGAATCTCTTTCATGCTGTAATTCCTTCTACGTGTATTAATTAATGAAGTTATGGTAATGCTTCACGATTTCACCGGTATCTTCGATTTCTTTTTTAAGCTGCTACATATGAAAGAGTATTTTAAAGAGATAAAATATCGTTGAAAAAAATTCTTAGAATAGTTTTTTTTTTGGATACCTTTTTACCTTTACCTTTTTAAATAGTCCTATGCAATATATTGTAATTTGAAAAAAAAATCGGAGATACTGATCAAATTCTAAAACATCACCGAAATTATTTATATTTTGATAATGGTAGTTTTCTCTTTAGACTTCTTATAAGTACACTATCTACGCAAGTTTGTATTTTTATGAACTGTATTTCAAAAATAGAATTTAATATTTGTTTTTGCATTCTATGTGCATTCTGTGCATATGTGCAAAAGTAAATTGCGAGTAAATAACTTAAAGGTTTAATTTATTTTAGGGTTCCAGATCGGAATTAGAAGTTTGATTTCCTTTTTCTAAATCGCAACCATTACTTCCACATCTTAAAACAAGAAGACACGATGTTTCCTTTTCCATTTTGAGAATTGATCTTCATAAATTAGAGACAAAGGTAAATAAAGTTTTTGAATCATCGCTATACCTTTAAGGACCGTAAAAAGAAATATGCTTCAAAAAATAGTATTATTTAAGAATACATGTAACCACTAAAATGTTAGTTAAATCTTAATTGTTAAGGAATCGTAACTCATGGAATTTGGTATTGAAACAGCGGTTTATAGCTTCTTGTTTAGAGCATTTATCATTGTTAATACACCTTTAAAAAATATTTACGTTTTCACAAATTATAAGAAATATTCAACGTTAGAAGAATTTCCTAATTGGCACAATAATTGTCACGACAGAAAAATTTAATACTGTTATCGCTATCAAAATACAGTTTAATTGGCAATTAAGCATTCTTGTTTACAAAACCGATATACGCCAAAGTATACGCCAAATCATGCTTAATAGTGATTTATGGAACGCTAGTTGCCCGCCCGCATCCTCTTTCTTTTTATAACAATTTATGTTTATTACCCTCTGTTTGAACATTCTTCAGATGTTGTTGAAGTCCATGGAATTCGACTCAATGGGGACACACCTTAACGTTACATCGTATCCAATAATCGAATATCACCATCGACAGCGATACATTGGTATTTATACCATTCACGTTTCCATTTCATCATCACTTAATTATTGGAGTTACTTGATCGTGCTTGCCATACCGGTTGAAATAGTATTGAGAAGTAACGCTAGATAACGCGCCTCTATTGATTTGTCAGTTGGGATAATGGATTTCAATGCATAACACAGAATCCCATGGAACGCGAGCGTGTGGTTGCCAGCCACAGATTAATACGGCTATCGCGGAACGACAGGTATTCCATATGTATCTGGTATTTCGTAAATGTTAATATAACTTGATCGTATCCCGATGCGAATGTAAATGCGCCGGACATGGTGCAGTCTCTTAACCCTTAAATGCATACTGTCTCTATTTGGCATATTTAAATGGCCTTTGTTATATAGGTAACGTGTAATACTTATTGCATGGTGTTTTCGAATGTATTTATTACTATTTTTATACTATTAATATGTTCATAATGCAGAAAGAAATTTAAAAAGTAACAGTTAAAAATTATTTTTGTATGACTTTGCAATATTGGCAATTTTCTATATTTTATATTTAAGAGGAGTCATGCATTTAAGGGTTCAAATTTCGCATAAAATGACAATTTGACAATTTGAAAGATCGGTCATTTTATGATACAATTTCGTGTGATTGCGATATAAAGGAACGAAGTTTTCGATGAATTCGACGTCGTTCATTTCAACAAGTTAAAAAGGAAGCGAACGGGGTAACGTATGTCTGGGGAATTACGTTATAACGAGATTAATAGTTAACGGCTTTCTGATCACAAAACATTCGATTTGTATTACAAATGTGAGTTACACGATCGGAATGTCGATTCCATGAAGTTGTTTCATTCTTGTCAACGAAGGGTTGGACTGAGTATCCGTTTTCGCTGTAACGCGGAACAGGAAGGCAACATTCTAATTATAGTATTAAATATCCTAAGATATGTAAAACGCTTTCGCATATCGCTCGAGTATCGTATCAAATTATACCTCAGAATTACTGTATTAACGGTAATTAATTGTCTATGGCGGTTATACGTTTAATGGGGTACGTGACCATCGTCTACGTCTTATTCTCATCCACTCGTGTGCAGGTTTTGCGTTATAAACGCATTAAAGCCTATTAAAATTATTGAATGAAGTAAGTTAACGTACCATAAGGAACAAGGAAGGAACGTAATTCAAAGCTTGCACGTTGATCATTCACCTCCGTGTTTCATCACAACTATGCTTCAGGAGACATATTTGTTACTTTTCGGCTTTTTGTCGCGTTTTTAGTACATCGTATTTTGTTCTGAAAATTCCAATTCATTTCTACAGTCTTTTCCGGTCCACCTGTAGAATCACAAATACAGCCGGGGATAAAGATAAGTAAGTAGGTAGTGGAAGTAGGTGTTAATGAAGTTTAATCGGATTAGTACTAGTGTTATATACTTCAGCTTTATTTTTGTTGCAGATTATTTGGCAAATAATTGAAATTGTGAGCGGTTTATTTAGCAAATAATACATGCAATAGCGGTTTATTCAACAAATAATACATGCAATAGCGGTTTATGCAGAAAATAATAAGCGATACACGAGATATAATTAACAAAGAAAACAAGGCCAATACAACCTAGAACTTATGCGTAACGTGTGACAGTAATATGCTGTTGAAGAACATGCTCGGCCACCCAACTGGTTATGAAAAAGGAAATGACCAACTCAACGAAATACACCTTACATCAGCGTTCGACTTCTTACCGCTATTATACTATTTGTCATAAACTATTTATTTACCGTAGAAACTACTTATTATACATATATGCGTATATCTATTACGCGTACGATGGCTGAAATTTTCTTTAGAGAAATTAATATTTTTGTGTAAACAAGTCGTATTTCACTTAGCCTCATCGATATCTATTTCTATTTTGTCTCCGACTGTATGCCATCCAGCCATGAAAGACACCTAATTGTCGATATCTCAGCTCTCTCGCCGATTTCAATGATCGTGGAAGAGAATATTTATAGAATTTGAATAGAATTTGAGTAGAATAGTTGTAGAAATTAACGTTTTGAACTACTTTTTCCTGTACACACAACCGCTGCTCGGCCTTAGTTTTCGAAATGTTGCAAAAAGCAATTGACGCTGCATTGAATTCTGACAAAATATATATAACAATACGTATAAAATATAAATATAATATGGATAAAATATCATCTATCCCGCGTTTAAAAGAAGATACGCTACTAATGTCTCTATCTGTGACGATGAGTAACACAACCACAAGCATGGCCGTCACGTTTGCCGCCTCGTTCAAGCTTCGTCTATACAAACTACAAACAAAGGATAAGAATTAGGTTTGAGTTAGGCTTAGGGTTCTCAGACGATTCCCTTAATTCGAGGATAGCACGATGTTACATTACCCCTTCTGACACTTTACAGCTACGTGGCTTGTCTGAGACGTGACATGAATTTCTTCTTACTTCTGTGCGTCGTGTCGACAACATTGATCCTCTCCCTGCACTTGTCTACAGTATGAGACCCGATGTCAGTGATCCACTAACTATACTATATTATCTACTACTACAGAGATTTTTTTCTTTAATTCCCTTAATCTGGTGACACTGGTTAGACGTTAGACAGTAAGACAATATCGAGGTATACGCTGGCACGGATGCACAGCTATAAGCAGATCTCGCTGTAGTGGTACCGACAGTTTCTTGCGAATATTTCGAAGACTAAGGCCGAGCGGCGGTTGTAGAGAACAATGTTGTTCAGAAAGTTAATTTCCACGAGGTATTAACAAATCATCGAAATTGGTGAGGTGGGTGTAAGTAAGGTTGGCATTTATGAAACAATTAGTCTAGGATATAGAGCATCAAAAACATGGACCTTTCCGCCTGAGACCTTTTTAGATTATGTACGATATCCTAAGTTGAAAGCTTCTGTGAATTATTGACTGTAACTGAATAGCACTACGTCTGCATTTCGATCGTTTCTAGAAGGACAAATGCATATAGAATGCTATCCAGTATATTAACCATATTAGTAGAGAAGCCACGTATACCAGATCATCGCACGCAACGCACACGTAGCGTGATAACGAATGATCGGTGGAGTTTGATCGTTTGGACAGCAAATGAGCATGGGAATCCCAGATCTCTAGAGAAAATCCCCTGGACATTTGTTGACGCCTTAAAAATTAGAACAAATTCTGGGAAATTCGGACTGATGACAACCTCAGATGGGCGAGATATTGATATCTAACAAATCAAAATTTCGTATTCCCAAGTTGGTCTTCAATTTCATGCAAACAGTCTAGGCTTATAGCTCTTAGATTATATATAGACAACTATCCGTAGAGGACTAATAGAATACGCTTTCAAAAAAATATACTTTTATATAGAAATACAGATACAAAATATAACTACACACACATACATACATATATATACCGGTTTAATATAAACAGTAGGGTAAATAAATACCAACTAAGAAAGAAACGTAAACAATAATAGTAGCAATACTTTACAACGATTAAGAGATCAATGTAGAAATACAACATGATATGTTGCAAGAAATTAAAAAAAGGAGATCAACAACCTGACTGTAATAATAGGTAGGCCACGAGCTTAGTACAAAATAAGTACGAAATAAAAAATTAATTATTCGCGAGTCGACAACGATCGTAGAGAATATAGGAGCATCGTGGGTGAGCTGAAGCAAATAGCGAAGTTCATGGTTCGCACCCGTGCAGTAGAATCCGATATGACGCACCGTGGAAACCCGATGATGCGGTACCGGAGGAATTAATCCGGGCATGGTCGGAGCGGTAACTATGCCGCGTGTGCGGCATACCGGTATCCCTCGCTGAGAGCGACTCCTCGTGTCGTGACTATTCTCGCCCACACGTTTATAAATCCCCTCGCGGTCGATTCTCCATCCCCACAGCCGTTTTCTCTTCCCTTCACTAGACCTATGCGATACCAAGCTCGGACCCTACCTTGCCTTGCCTCTCGTTCTGCTTCTCGTTTCGCTGCCTCCTCTTCCTCAACCTCTCTTCTTCCCTCAGTTCGCTGCATCTCTTGCGTCGAGCATTCATCCTAGTTAGAGCATACCACTAGGCCCATTATATCTCAACTGATTTGAATTTAACGGTTGCCAGACACCGGCATTGTGCGTACGCCCGTCTCATACCTCCCGCTACTCGCTTCGGCATTCTATCATCTCTTTCTCTCTCTTTCTTTCTCTACCTATCTTTCCTCGTCTTCTCCTCTTCTCGCAACGCGAATCTCTACTGTTCGCACCCATCTTCCTACGACCACCCAATACAGTGATCGAGCAGATAATTGCTAAGCATATAATTTACCCTATTTGACTTGGGGTGGTTTTCGATGCCCGGCAGATAATCGTTTTCTTCTTTTTACACACTTTTGTAAGGTTTACACTCGCTTAAGTTTATCGTTACATGCTATTTAACAAGCGTGCTTATGAACGCACCAAAGAGGTTGTTAGTGCTATTATTAGTACTGTTATTAACTGTAACTTTAATTTGTTTGCTGTTCCATCCTATTTATTCTTTTTACGTAAATTTATAAGTAGGTTTTTAAGTTTATCGTAGCATGGCTGCTATTATTAGTTACTGTTATTAATTGTAACTTGTATCTGTTTGCTGTCCTATTTGTTCTTCTTGCTTACTTTTGTAAGTACATCTTCGAGTCTATCGTTGTACGTTATTTATCGTGCGTAGGTAGTTACTATAACTTAAATAACTTGTAACTTAAATTTATTTGTTACTTCGTTTTATTCGTTGCCCTGCTGTTCATTGTAACTTAACTCTCTCGAAGGTCTGTCAGGTTGTCACAATTTCTAGCATTATCGAGCCTTATTGAAACATAGAATCTCACCGTAAATATGATTACGTATGTCATTTTAAAAATTATATTTAATTTGTTCCTTTCTTTTCAAATTTAGATGCATTATTATCCACATTGCAGTTCTTGAACCTTTTATGTCCCGAGAAAAGAGCCCTTTTAATACTTCAAGAGAATCATTGAAAGGAGAAATCAGAAATACTGATGTAATTAAAATTTATATAGCAAATTTAGGAATTTTTCTAACGGTAGACAAATATGGTCTGGTCGAAAATGAGACAAAACATACAGCACAGTTAATAGAAAAATACTTCTTGAAAAAGTTAGATTTGTTTCTTATTCCGTTTTATCTATCGTGTACACTTAATCATCGAGAACTGAACTTGTTATTTCGATCGTTCGTATACTCATTCTTTTATTTTGCAGATGCTGTATCTTTGTTTGTAAGAGATTCTCATACATGGCTGCTGTCTTGAAACTCAATGTTAGTCAGGCTTTACTTGCAACTAAAACGGGTTTGCTACACTCTTGTACGTCGTCTCCCGTTTAAGACTGACATAGAAGAAGAGAAACGTCATACTAGATCTATTGATCCGTTTCTGAACTTTCTATTCTCTGTAAT